TATTAGGCGAAGTATAATCATGATAAACGAGCGAATGTGGCCAACCATGTCGCGCAGAGTTCTGATGTGCAGACGTATGTTCGCTGTTAGCAAACCTACACGTCGGATGAAGCGTTCGCTACAGTGATTTTCAGGTTTTTACGCTAACGACCTCGTTATGGTCGTGTCCAAGGCGAGACCACCAGCAATGAATTTTTACACCAACATGCCACGACGTAATGTTACAACGCAACGGCGGTTAGGTATGCCAAAGTCACTGAATAGACTTTTTCATATATATATATATATATGAAAAAGTCTATTCAGTGACTTTGGCATACCTAACCGCCGTTGCGTTGTAACATTACGTCGTGGCATGTTGGTGTAAAAATTCATTGCTGGTGGTCTCGCCTTGGACACGACCATAACGAGGTCGTTAGCGTAAAAACCTGAAAATCACTGTAGCGAACGCTTCATCCGACGTGTAGGTTTGCTAACAGCGAACATACGTCTGCACATCAGAACTCTGCGCGACATGGTTGGCCACATTCGCTCGTTTATCATGATTATACTTCGCCTAATATATACTAGATTCGCGCCTCCGGCTAGGGTATAGTTGACTGGTTGACTGCTCGCTGCGATGCAGGCACGTCGACAACACTAACTAAGGGCCACCAAAAGTGCGTTGACAAATACTGATGATGTTGCTAATGATGCGAAGTACGATGACAGTACAAGCAACAAATGCGCAAACGATGATCGCACTTGCATAAACTGTCGTGCTGCGCTGCTGCTGCTTGATTCTGCTTTTCGCCGTGTTCGGCTGTCTATTTGGGTGAGGTGGCCATCTTAGTCGGCTAGTAGAAGTGTGGGAGGTTGTCAAACGAGGCTGGCGTTGATGATATACGTTGGGGGGCTTAATGGCGCCATCGTGCGACGTTTTGAAAACGTAACGTTGTGCCTGATGATAAATTGAACAAGAATCGGTTTCAGCTTGGAACAAAAAAAATCGCTCGCCGGTTTGTGTGACCACCTGTGAGCTACGCGCGCTTACCGTCCGCGTGCTACCCCAACCGCAGACGACGGACAATGAATCCAACGCCATTTTATATTCGCTAATATGCGAGATGTAATTTGTGCGGTAGTTATTTTTTTATGGCGCATAACTTTGGATTAAAATGTGAGTTATACTGATATGAATATAATGGTCAGGGAACGGCGTGGAGGTCCCCACAAAGGCCTTTATGGTGCATAAAACCTACATACTTGGCTCGGTGCTGGGAAGCTCTTGGTGACACGTGAGTCGGCGCCCTCAACTCAACGCGGTGCCATTGTTGCTCACATCGGCGTAACGGCTACATCAGCATCTGCGTGCAGAAGTCAGACGAAATCCCCTAATACTCATTGTAAGCAGGCAAAACAACTTCTTCGGGCATTATACAGCGACTGCACTCGAATAAGAGCGCGCCGAAATAGCAGTCGCTGGCGGTGCGTTTAAGGGCTTAAATCCATTTAGAGGTACCAGTTGTTCGACTGGCCGCTACACTTTGCTTGCCGGATTAGTCGCTACTCTGCCTTTATACGGATTGTCTAGAATGCAAATGATATGCGATCGCAGACGTGTAAGTTGTTTG